TTTCAGATTTTCTCTATTTATAACGGTTCAAAAAATAATAGACAAAACTTGTATTTTACCAGTATGTTCTATTTTTAGCCATGTCGGCCATGTTTGTTGGTAGGCTGGGTCATCGGACCATCATTTTTTAAACTATATACCCTAATGATGATTGTGGCCAAGTTTGGTTAAATTTGTCTCAGTAGTTTCAGAGGAGATTTTTGTAAAAGATTACAAAAATTTACAAAAATTGTTAAAAGGACCATTTCGGTCATGTTGACTTATTTGTAGATCTTACTTTGCTGTACAATATTGCTGTTTACAGTTTATCTCTATCTATAATAATATTGAAGATAATAACCAAAAACAGCAAAATTTTCTTAAAATTACCAATTCAAGGGCAGCAACCCAACAATGGGTTGTCTGATTTGTCTGAAAATTTCATGGCAATAGATCATGACCTGGTGAACAATTTCACCCCATGTCAGATTTGCTCTAAATGCTTTGGTTTCAGAGATATAAGCCAAAATCTACATTTTACCCCTATGTTCTATTTTTAGCCATAGGGCCATCTTGGTTGGTGGGCCGGGTCATTTTTAAAACTAGATACACCAATGATGATTGTGGCCAAGTTTGGTTAAATTTGGCCTATTAGTTTCAGAGGAGAAGATTTTTCTAAAAGTTAACAGACGATGACAAACGACAGACGCCAAGTCATGAGAAAAGCTCACTGAGCTAAAAAAGGCTACCATTACTGCCTACCTGAAATCAATTGATTATATTGACCCAGGTGACGAAAGTCTATATGGGTGCTGTAAAGGTCTTACAAACAGGTTAACAAAAAGTCACACAGATGGACGAACTGACAAATGAACGCACAGACCGAAAAAACATAATGCCCATAGAGTGAAAAAGAATGGCAGGACAGAGATTACAACTAAATAAAAATGCAGGACAAAATTTTTCATCCTAGCCCCCCCCCCCAAAAAAAAAATCAAATGGTAGCTACCTTAACACAAAGTCCCACATGTCTATATGGGTGCTGTATAAGTCTCACAAACAGGTTAACAAATAGTCGCACATGTCTATATGGTGTTGTATAGGTCTCACAAACAGGTTAACACAAAGTCCCACATGTCTATACGGGTGCTGTGTAGGTCTAACAAACAGGTTAACAAAAAGTCCCAATGTCTATATGGGTGATGAGTAGGTCTCACAAACAGGTTAACACAAAGTCCCACATGTCTATATGGGTGCTGTAAAGGTCTCACAGACAGGTTAGCAAAAAGTCTCACATGTCTATATGGGTGCTGTATAGGTCTCACAAAGGGGGTTAACAAAAAGTCCCACATGTCTATAATAGGTCTCACAAACAGGTTAACACAAAGTCCCACAGGTCTATATGGATGCTGTATAGGTCTCACAAACAGGTAAACAAAAAGTCCCACATGTCTATATCATATGGGTGCTGTATAACTCTAAATCTCATAAATAGTAAACCAAAGTCCCACACATCTACATGGGAGCTATACAAAATTTCAAAGTCTCACAAACAGATGAATTTAGTCACACATGTTTATATGGGTTCTATATAAATCTCAGTTTCACAAATAGGTGAAATTCATGTTTTCCTGGGTTATCACACCTCAATTCGATTTTAAAGGATTAAACGGCTCATTGAAGATAAATATTAGTGAGCAATGATGTTTTAACTAAGCAGGTGAAATTGTAACCAATTGATATTTCTTTAAAATTTGAGTTCTTAAATGCCTGTGTCACTCACCTTAGTCAATGTGCAATATGGTCACAATGGACATTCCATATGGTATACTAGAATACATAATTTTTGTTTATAGTTTTCCCCAAAAAACACACTTCAGTAGAATAAGTCTAGTAGAAAAAGTTAAAGAACTCTGCAAGATTAAAAAACCAGTATCTTATGGATATTTTTTACTAAGATAAATGGTTCTTCTTCAATGGACTGTGTATTATTGATTGTTATAATATCTTTTCATTGAAAATGTAACATCATAAAATAAGAATCAATAAAATAAACAATAGTAAAAGTGTTCTTCAGATTTATTCAAGTTACCATTAGTACTATCATGTTATAGTTAAAACAAGTCTTATAATAAAATATGTTTATCCAATAAAAGAAAACAACTTGCACCAGATGCAGTGGCGGATCCCGGGGGGGGGGGGGGGGGGGGGGGGGGGGGGGGGGGGGGGATTCCGGGGGTTGGAACACCCCTTTTTTTTTGACGATCAATGCATTTGAATGGGGACATATAGTTGGAACCCCCCCTTTATCCTGGGTTGGGAAACCCCCATTTTAAAAATGGCTGGATCCGCCCCTGAGATGTGTACAAGCCCAGTTTAAACTGACATATTTTTGATAATTAATGGCTTTCACAGTAAACATTTATCTTATTTTTATACAATGACTACTGCAAGAGGTCACTATTAGGTAATGCCACAAGTCATTATTATTAACAATTTCAATTTTGTCTGATGAACTGTATGAAATGAGGGGTGAAAGACAGAATTGATTTATAATGTGATTTTTTTTATTTTTGAACAATATTTTCTGAACCACAGACTTTATCAAATATATATGTGTATGTATATGCATCAAATTCTGAAACAGCTGTCAGATTAAATGCTTCAATGAAATAGGTATGAACAAATTAACAGAAAATAAATCACTTATATTTTTTTAACAAAATGCTGGAAACCTCTATTTGATTTGTTATGAACAAAAATAACAAAAATCATCCACTGAATATATATGGACTTATCATTTCCACACCATTTCACCTTATCTCATTGGTGGATTTGTCTAAAGTAATAGACAGTATGTGGCCTTTGAATGCCAAACAAAAAACATATTTACAGTTTATCTTGGCCTCAACCCATTACATGCCAAATGTAATGACAACAAATGATATAAGTAATACAATGAAATCTGTTTAAATCCAAACACAGTATAAACAAGTAACCTGTCTAAACCAAACATCTAGCGAAGCCCCTTCGTATAAGTTGATATCTAATTGGAACCATGTGTAGTCTGAACACATTCATAAACCAACCATCTTATTGCTTATAGTTCAGTCTAGACACATCTCACTGTAGTATGAACATCCCCCATTTAGTTCTTTACCTAAATGATAAAAGGTATTCATTGAATAAAAGTTCATAACAAAATACCTTTTTTTCAAACCGATTTCCTCAACCATTCAGAAGTTTTGTCCAACAAATGTATTTGGCAATTTTCTAAATTTCAAAAGGGACATAACTAACAAAAGATAACAGTGAATATCCTGAGATTTTAACTTGATTGGGTTTAGTAGTCTAATATTTCAATTAATTTGCATGATGCAGTTACAAATTACTTACTGGAACTTTGGGAAGGTCACACAAAATCTTAATGACCCTATAATGCCTTTCACACATAAAAATGTTGTAATCATAACAAGTTTAATTAACAACTACCATCAAAAACTCAAAAAAATATTACACATTTTTGAGGATTGCAGATAAAAATAAACAAGATTCCCATTAAATCTTTAATTTCCTCATGAGCAAAACTATTATTACCTCATTGCCCCAATTTTTTTCCTCAGACCTATAACAGAAAGTCTAAATAGCTAATGTAATCTTAACCTTTGACCCATTAATCTCAAATTCAATTTATTTCATCCTTTTCTAAAGCATTAATCACAAATAATGTTAAAGGGATAGTAGCTACGATTTTGACAAAATTATAACAAATTAAGTTTTAAAGCTGCTTAAATCAAAGATATGTGCTTAAAATTCACAATAAGATAACTGGAATGTTTACATAAACTACAGAAGTGTTAATGATTCATAATTAATATGGTGTTGTGTGCCTATTCATCTCATTAACTATGCATCAGGTTTACTTCCCAAACTTGGCCAACACAGTGAGTGAAATGACCCAGATATATATAGATATAAACAGGTGCGTTTTGTTTTCTTACGTATTTGACAATTTCTTTAAATTAAACGTACATATTTGACCCCATTTATCAAATTATGTAAACATAACAAAATATAACAAAAGCCTGCATACTATTCGAAAAAGGTTCTCAAACAATGGCGAAAAACAGTTGTTTTTACATTTGTATGACAAAACAATGCCGATAATATATACACGTGTTTGTGAATTGAATCGGGGCCACCATGAAGGATACACCTGAAGAATCATGATTATTAAATTGTAAGAAGTTGATTTCTAACTTCTAAGTTGGGAGATCACTGTCCGTATATTTATAAACATATTTTGGACAATAAGGATTTGAACACGTCGTGATTTGTTTTCATGTGATCTGGAATAATTTAGAAATGTAAACATTTTGCAAACCACCGTATTGTTGGCTACTTCTGTGGGACTTTGCCTGCGTGACAGGTAATTTAAGTGATTATAATGACTGATCTCATCGCCTTTATTTAACTGCAATTTACAATAACTTGTCTGCACCTCTTTTATGTTCCTTTTTCTCGCAAAAACTGTCAATACACGTTTCTTTCCCGCGATAACATTCCTGTGTTTGACATTTTCTCTTTGAGGGAAAACGTCCGATTGTGCATTTAGGACTGCCGAGTTCAGGTCAACATAGGTCATATGATTAAGGGTTGGCTTAACATCTAATAATTGTCTGGTGGACAAAAATTAAATTCAGGTGTAAAACTGTAAAATGCATCTAAATGCTAAATGGAAAGTAAACAGTGATGGTTTTATTTATACTTATTTGACTTTTTGTACAAAACACTGCATTTAGATTAAAAAAATAATTTTAATGAAAATCGTAGCTCTACTATTCATTTAAGCTGAGATACAAGTTCATCTAACTCATCTAACACTTCCCAATGCAGTGTTTCACAAGCAGTGTATAACATCAAAATATATTATTAAAGTAAAGTGTTGTATAATAGTATGATACATTTTTATAGTAATCAAACAGACTATATTACTTTTTTTTGTTCATGTTTGAGATTTTTTTTTGATGATTGTGTGCCAATATCTCTGGCCTAATGATCCTTTTTTTCTTTTTACTTTTGTTAATAGCTTTAATGACTTCTTTTTTTAAGGGCATGTCTTAAAAGTCCTCAGGTTATCAGGAAAATAATCCTCTATTTCTTTTATTTCATTCTTTTGCCAGCGAACTCTGGTGGTTTTTGTTTTAGCGGCAGGTTAATCATCATCCTCTATATCATCAATTTCATCTAGATCTGATAGTCTGTCAATTTCTATATCCTTGCCACATACATTGTCTGATATCTCACAAACTGGTAAATCATCTGGGTTTGCATCATTTTCATCGCTCTCTTTTCTTATCTCTTCCATTAATAAATCTACAAAAAATATACAATATATATTTTACTGCTGGAAGCTTTCCTTTTTTTACTTCAAATTCAAGGTTTATGTACCCTTCTATAGGCCTGTGTATCTATAAATTTTTAAAGTGTGATAATATCAAAATAGAACAAAATACTGGTTAAAAGTGGGTGCCATTTTGTGCATATAACATAAGGAAATGTCATCCACAGCAATAATATTAAAATATTTCATTGCATTTGATAGAAAATGAGGATTTTTGTGGCCAAAATAGCTGATTAATTTTTAAAAACGTGCAGACTTTATTATAGGGATTTTTGTTATAACATTGTAAACATAGATTTCTCACTCCTTTGTCCATCATGTTCTGGTAATGATTTCCATAAAAAATATTTTTAATAAAGATGATAGAGAAAACAAGTACAAATATAGACAAATTTATAAACATCTTCTAGGGTGCGCTCTACTTTAGTGACCCAATCTATGTTTTTTGGGGTACTAAACATTGTAAATTTTTTTGCAAATCTTTTTGTAAACAATAAACACTAGCACACCATGGACAAAGAAGTGAGTTGTTTCAAGAAGTCAATTGGTCATGTGACTAATTTGTAAATCTTCCTGCTTACAATTTGCTGTTTACAGATTATCTCTATCTATAATAGTATTTAAGATATTAACCAATAACAACATAGCTTTGGTTGAACAGTTCATGAATTATCACACAGACACGACTTATTACGACATTTTTCAATCTTTCAAGGACCATAACTCCTGAACCGTGAAAGTGAAAATCGTCAATATCGAACTTGACCTCCATTTTGTCATCAGTAACAACATATTAAAATTTGAAAAATTTTTGTTGAACGGTTTATGAGTAAATGCACAGAAACTGTTTGACAGCCGGCCGCCAGCAGTGCATCACCAAATTAATAACTAATTTATGTCTGAATCTGGTTAAAGACTGGAAATCCCTTCAAATTTTCAATTCAGGGGCAGCAACCAAACAACCCAACAATAGGTTGTTTGATTTGTTTGAAAATTTGTGGGAAGATAGATCTAAACAAAATGAACACTTTTACCATTTGTGATCAGTTCACCTTTCCAAGTTAAGTTTTATTGATCTTTATTACTATCAACCAATAACCTGCATTATACCCTTTTGGGTTTTTGATTCAGCCATGCTGGATCTATGTTCTTACTCTGGATTTTGGAGACAGTGCAAAATTCTAAGTTGAAGACATGCAATGGAAATAATTATGTGTTTCTATGACTTGCGGAAACTTTATACACCATTTCAATCATCAACTGCCAACTTTTAATATGTTATTTGTCCTTAAATTAAGAAAAGGTTGGGTGAACAACTTCTTTATTTTAGATATACACTTGCATATAGTTCCTTTGTAAATCAAAATTTATATTAAATTGTCATTTATTAATTAATGTGGAAAATGTGATTTGTCAAATTTAAGCAGTTGATAGTTGATAAGAATAATGAAAGTGTTTTATCATTATCTTATGTTCCTGTAAGCCATTGAATTAAATTTGGTTCAAGATGTGTATTGATATCAGAGTTGATTCCCACACTTTTTTGAAATGCTATTATTCCCATTCTTGCATTAGGCAAATGAGATTATTGATACAATACCAGTATGATGGACAGCTGCCACGATTTTCAAACAACTACACTCAAAGGTGTAAGTATTAATTGGATTAAACTCCAAATGCAGTCTTAATTGACCACAGTTATATTAATATATCATGACAGTTGATAATCATACTGGTATTGAGGTCAAGAATTTTTGTATTCAATTTTTTATACATCTAACTGCACACAAAATCTTGACCTCAATAGTTGTAAAATCAGTGTCATCTGACATGAGTAAGTAATTAAGGTCTATTTAAGTTACAATTATCAGTAATTTGGTTGAAGCAATAAACACAATTGCATAACTCTTACCTGAGCATTTTCTGCAATAAATGTATTTGTACATTCCCCATTATATTGCTATTCAACAGTAATTGAAATTATTTCAGCATTTGGTATTTGTACATGTATATTTGAATACAGGAAATGTTTTTTTTTCCTTAATGAAGAATGTCAACACCAATTTAGATAAAAGTTCGATATTTATATTTGTTGTTGTTGAGAAAGTGCATTTTTAATGCCTCTTTCTGGAAATTATTAAGCCAATTATTATTAATGGCGTATAAAAAACATGCTACACAATTGAAGATTTCCCTCAACATTCTTGTCAAAATCATTGAATTTCAAATGTTTCTAAAAAAAAAGATGTAAACAAAAAAATTTGACAGTTTCTTTAATTGAAATACCAAAATAATTTGCATCAATATTGCAAATTCTCCATCTTTTAATAATTTGGCAATAGAATAGAAATTTTACAGTGAGATTATGGAAATGAAGGTAACAATATAATTATTGAAGGTATGGTCAGAACAAATGTCAGACTAGCTACAAAATTGGCTGAGTCACAACATCCATGATGCTTTGATTTTAGCATAGCAGCCATGTAGGTTGATGATCCAGATCATTAGATTTTTTTTCAAAGTATCCTTATGATGACTATGGCTAATTTTGATTCAATTTGGCCCAGTATTTTCAGAGTAGAACATTTTTGTAAAAGTTGATGAGAACAAGGGATGACAGATATGAAAGACAACAGAAGACAAAGACACAGTGATGAGAATAGCTCACATGACCCTTAAGCTAAAAAATAGTTAAATGTTTGGACTACAAGTTTTGTAATTTAATTTGATTCAGTCTCATAAACTACTTTTTATTTACCATTCAATTCAGTATCTTGTAAGGATTTCCCATTTAATTTTCTTATTAGATTCAAATCTTGAACAAGCATAAGCTTTGCTATTTTTACTCTTTCTATAAAGCCGGATCTTTGGCGATAGTCACACACAGTGAGAGATATACAGATTTAGTGTGACCTAAATGGTCATAAGCCCATCAGTATTCTGTGTCGTTTAAGTTCAGGACCTGAAAAATGTAAAAACAGTAAGTTATTTTGGATTTTTACAGGTTTTTCCAATATTGTGCTCTACTACACTACTATCCCAGGTAAGCGGAAATTGAGCAGTTGCAAAAATGTTAAATCCTGTCACATTCTCTAGTCAGGAGCTTGTAATTCAAAGACTGTTATTGATTGCTGCCTAACATTTTTGTTTGCTTTTCGTAAATTGTTCTGTACATAAATCAGACTTTTTTTCTTGTATGAATTTTACATTTTGTCATGTCGTTGCCTTATATAGATTGAAAAATAAATAGTATGGGTAATGCTCCTTGTGAAGACTGTACAGTGATTACTTGTTTCTTGGATCTGGTTGTTCTGTTCAGAAAAAGTAATGAATAGGGGTTTCATTATATAACCCAGGGTTCAACTTCTTTTTACCCTTGGTCAGGTAACCAGTTGTTAAAATGCTATGAATATTATTTGTTTCAAAGTTAAGAAGTACATTGTTTCAATTCTTCCTTCAGCTTTACATAGCACAATGTGATTAGCATGCAATCACTTGTAAATTTAAAAAAACAAAACTTTCCAGTTATTAATATAAATAAGATGTGGTATGAGTACCAATGAGACAACTCTTCATCCAAGTCACAATGTATTAAAAGTTAACAATTATAGGTCAAAGTATGGCCTTCAACACAGAACCTTGGCTCACACCGCACAGCAAGCTATAAAGGGCCCCAAAATGACTAGTGTAAAACAATTCAAACAGAAAAACCAACGGTCTAATCTATGTATACAAAACGAGAAACACCTATGAACCACACCAACAATCGACAACAGGCTCCTTACTTAGGACAGGTCCATATCAAATGCAACGAGACAGTAGTGTAACATTACAACATAAAAAGACACACTATAGAATATTTATTGAAAATGGCTAAACTTGATTAAAAAGACACGATTTAAACAAAAACAAGTAAACATACACTGAACAAATAAGTTTGATCAATGACACAATATAAATACAATATTGAAACACAGGTGCCTATATAACATAGACATTACAGGTAGTAATAAAAGAGATGCAGGAACAGTGTCAAGTTCATTTATTAGTACAATTATAACACAGTCATGACAGGAAGTATCTTTTTGTTGTGAGAAAAATTCGTAAGGGTTCCGCGGAACCCAGTGTCTCGCCTACTTTTTCTGTTAATCGCTGGCTCAACAAAAATGAGGAAGTAAATCAATAAAAAATATTCCTCTTGATACTATCTTTTGATTGTAAGAAGCTTCTGTCCAAGTTTGGTAAAAATCCAGGATAGTTTATGAATCTAATAAATGTTTAAAAACTTTAACTGCAGACTGAATGTAATGTTAACTGGAAGAAAACAAAATTTCCTTCTAGATACTAGCATTTGATCATAAACAAGCTTCTGTTAAAGTTTGGTACAAATCCAAAATAGTATATTAAGAAAGTTATTAAAATTTTAAAAACTGTAACCACAGAGTGAATGTGTTGTTTCCTGACAGAAAATCTAAGTCCATTTAAAAGTAAAATACGGAAAAAATGGATTTATTATTTTACAAAATTTCCTTCTAGATACTAGTTTTTGATCATAAACAAGCTTCTGTCCAAGTTTGGTACAAATCCAAAATAGTATAAGAAAGTTATAAAAACTTTAAAAACTTTAACCAAAGAGTGAAAGTGTTGTTTCCTGGCAGAAAATCTAAGTCCATTTGAAAGTAAAATACACAAAAAATGGATTTATTATTTTACAAAATTTCCTTCTAGATACTATCTTATGATCATAAACAAGCTTCTGTCCAAGTTTGGTAGAAACCCAGGATAATTTAAGAAAGTTATTAAAATTTTAAAAACTTTAACCACAGAGTGAATGTAATATTTCCTGGCAGAAAAACTAAGTCCATTTATAAGCAAAATACGGAAAAAATGGAATTTTATTTTTACAAAATTTACTTCTGGATACTATCTTATGATCATAAACAAGCTTCTGTCCAAGTTTGGTAGAAATCCAGGATAGTTTAAGAAAGTTATTAAAATTTCAAAAACTTTAACCACAGAGTGAATATTTGTGGACGCCACCGCCGACAACGACGACGACGACGCTGACGGAATGTAGGATCGCTATGTCTCGCTTTTTCGACTAAAGTCAAAGGCTCGAAAAAATCATTAATTGTTGTTTTCTTCTTGATAAGAAATAAAATTTCTTAATAAAATATGTTAAGATTCGTTTTACTTTTTAAATATTCTGTAGAAGAATTTATTGTTTGATAAAATGCTCCCCTAGGGCACAAATTGAAACTACACCAGAGGTTGGATCCTGAACAGTTGGGGCAAGTATGGACACAACATTTAAGCTTGATACAGCTCCGAATTTGGATAGTGATTTAATATTCGACACAGCAAACATTCAGGTTTTAGATACAGAATGAATGCGGTCAAAGACCTTAAAAATTTGTAATTGGAAATTTACATATTATGATAATAATAATAATAATAATAATAATCTTTATTTCAAGAGGGTATGCTCAATTAGTACAAACACTATTCTCCCTTGAGGCCCTCACACTCCACTCACAATAAATCACACAATTTCATCATAACAAAGATAAACATAAGAAAACATAATCAAAATTGATACATAATCATTTAAATAATTCCAGGATTTTCAAGTAAAAACTTAAAGCAGTTTGTTTTAAAAGTATTTATGTTTGACATGTGTCTTAGTGCTTCTGGTAGTTTATTCCATAAAGTTGGGCCAGAATATGAAAAAGATCTTCTAAATGTGTTTGTTCTTGCCTTTGGTATATTAAGTAATTGGGTAGTATTTGATCTAAGTTGCATTCCATTTTTATTTGTAACATAGGAGATTTTGTAAGACAAATATTCTGGGACAGATCCATATAAACATTTATGAACATATAAGGCCTTGTGGTAAATTACACGATCAGTAAATCGAAGCCATGATAACTTTTTAAACATTGTATTAGATGGGGTATCATAAGGAAGTTCAAGAATAATTCTAGCTGCTCGTTTTTGAAGTTTATCTAATCTATTTGTATTTTGGTCACTGGTGTTTCCCCAAATTGTACAACAGTAATCCAAAATAGGGAGAATATAACCATTAAAGTATAACTTTCGTGTTTCCAGGGGGAGGGATTTCTTTATCCTAGACAAAAGATTTAGCCTGGTACTGATTTTTGTGCACAAAGTGTCAATTTGGGCTGTCCACTCAAGATTTTCATCAATAAAAACCCCTAGGAGCTTTTCGCCATTAACATCTCTTATGTGGGAGTTACCAACAGTCAAATTAAGAACATGGTCTGTTTTTGCTAGTTTCTGTCTAGAACCAATAACCATAGATGTAGTTTTTGTTGGATTTATATACATCTTATTTCCCTTGCACCATTCTTCAATTCTGTCTAAATCATTTGTAATGCTGTCCTGGATGGTATTGAGACTACGACCTGTGCAGTGAATGGTAGTATCATCTGCATAGAGGTCTGCTTGAGATGAGGTTATATGAAGGGGCAAATCATTAATGAACAATAAAAATAAAAGGGGGCCTAATATGGAGCCCTGAGGTACTCCAGATTTTATTTCTAGTGCCTTTGACTTGATTGTCCCATTTTCAACTTGTTGGAATCTATGAGATAGATATGATTTAAACCAGTTACATGATAAATTTGAAATTTTGTAGCACTGCAGTTTTTGAAGAAGGATAATGTGATCTACCAGATCAAATGCTTTTTTAAAATCTAGGAAGATAATACCTATAATTTCTCCATCATCAATGGCTTTCAACCACTGATCAATAAGTTTTAGTAAAGCAGTGTGATAAGAGTGGTGGCTTCTAAATCCAGACTGACTTGCATGAAGGAGCTTATATTTTAATAGGTATCGGTATAGGTGTTTGCAGACATGCTTTTCAAAAATCTTTGAAAGAGTAGGCAAAATAGATATTGGTCTATAGTTGTCGACAGTATCTTTAGGACCCTTTTTATGACTTGGCATGACACGGGCATTTTTAAGCTCAGAAGGGAATATACCAGCAGTGATACTCCTATTTATAATATAAGCTATTGACGGTGAAATAACTTCTGATGATAGTTTAAGTATGCGAGGACTGATCTGATCAATGCCTGTAGCTTTTGCAACATTTAAATTGCTAAGGCAGTCCTTGACTTCTGCAACTGTAATTAAGGGGATGTAAAACTCCTGTGTCTGATGCAATATCCAAATCTAAATATGTGGTTAGATTAAGCATATACAAATAAACCATAAATTCATTTTTTGATGAAATCAAACACAAAGTTTAATGTTGGACCCCCATTTGGACCAACTTGAAAACTGGGCCAAAAATCAAATATGTAAATACATGTTTAGATTCAGAATATTAAAGAATCTCAAAAATTTATTTTTTGTTTATATCAAACAAAGTTTAATTTAAGACACTTTGGACATCAATATGGACCAATTCAAAACAGGGGACATATTTTAAATCCAAATACATGGTTAGATTCTGCATATCAAAGAACCCCAAGAAATTATTTTTTGTTGAAATCCCAAAGCAAGATAAATATCTATAATTGTTTCAATCCATTCAGTGGTTCTCTAGAAGAAGTTAAGAATTGAAAAGTTAATGGACAAAGACGACTGACGATATGTGATGATAATAGCTCACTTGTCTATTTTGGTCAAATGCGCTAATAATGTAGAAATGAGGCATGCATTTATGGTGAAATTGACCAACCTGTGAGAGTGTTACTGTATATTTTCGGAGGGCCACACTAGTAATTTGTTCTGGCCTTATTAAATGGCATTCATCACAAAGTGTCTTCAATGAATCATAAGATCTTGTGCTGTTCAC